TCGGAGGCAGCGCTCGTAAGTGTACTCTAGGCGGCCATAGAAGGCATCTTTGGCCAAATCCTTCTTCTCTTTGGAGCGAAATGTCAATTCACCGGGGTGAATGCCAGTACTCAACGACGTAGTCTCTCTCCGAGCACAAATCCATATTTTCGCTCCCTTGTATTGCAGCTGAAGTAAATCTCACAAAGACCTACCTACTTCCGTCTTTGCCCCGTCATTCGCTCTTTTTGGATGGCGGTGATGTCAGTCTTAAGCAGAAAGGAGAAATCTCATCCGAGGCATTGTTACATCTTTCATTGGAGCTGATTTCTACGTGGCGGGTACCAAACCCAGCGCATAACCTCGCTAGGCGAGTAAGTTAAAAGACTTTTACACATTTATATAGCGAGTCGCTTGCATCGAGACCGGCGCCAGCTCGCAGCCGCACCTCTGGTGAACAGAAGCTGCAATTAGACTTCAACAGACCCTTATACCGAATAAGTCAAACTGGCTCCACTGAAGCTTGCTCTCTCTCATTAGCCGTGACCCAAGGCTCCGCACGGGTTGGTTACCCCATCTTGCACTAGGGTTGATCCCGTTTCCAGTTTGCGCGAAGTGAGCATAGCTTCGTGACTGTAATAGCATACCTAGAAGCTTGACTACACCCCGTTTGTAGGATGAGTTCTGAAAGTTTTTGGCAAGCATTCTTCGCTGAATTTTTCAAATCTAATTGTCGCGGGAACGTTGACATTTCATTTGCCATGATTTGAATTTTTTGTAGACCTCATATATCGATACTCGGTTATGGAATTGCTGCTTTGCAGCTATCTTTAAAGACGGGTTTTTTCCTTATGTACTTAGAAAGTGCAGCCCGTCTATTTCCGCTTCGTTAAAATAAATTTTTAGTCTTTTGCTTTTGCGGTGCTTTACTATTACAGGAGGATCTTAACAACTTAGATAATTAGAGCATTAATATCAAAGAATGTTTAAATATTACCTTTCAATAAGCTCAAATGTGCTCAGGTCGACTTATTATCAATTTGATAAAAGGCTATCTTCTAATAACGAAGCTCATTCTCACGTTACTTTTATTACGGCTCCCCAAATACGCGAAATTCTATATAGCTCTTTGGTTCGTTCAAGGCTGGAGTATGCTAGTTTAATTCTAATTCAATGTATTCCACACTGTAACGTACTGGCCGCAACAAAAACTTTCTTTTGTGTTTATCTACAGTGGCTCACAGCCAAAGTGATGCAGCTATGTGAGAAATAGTATTATAAGATTTGATTTAAAAAATAAATAGATTTTCAAAAAAAAAAAAAATGAATGCCAGTTAAAAGCGGCAAATATACAAATTTAGTTTATGCTTTGGATGATGATTTGATATATTTATTTATATATATTTTATGTTATTAACAACAAAAACAAACTTCACTATTAAATTGTACCTCACAGCGAAAATGATGCAGTAACAAAAAAATTAGTATATATCATTTTTTTAAAGAAAAAAGTTAAAATTTTACGTTAATTAATAATAAGAAAGATACTTCTTGCTGTATATAACTACTTTCATACGTTTGGCCATGGGTTTCACTAACTTATTCGTGTAGTCATGAGCATTATTGTTCCATTCTGTTTGTAGCGCCTTATTGGTGTTCCGATCATTATCTTTTTAGTAGAAACGAATTTTTGAGGCGCACATGAACATTTTAAGCCATTCGGAGCTTGTGAAAATGCAGTTGATAGTGGCGTAACCGAAGTTTGGCGGGACCACCGGAGGAGCACCGAAGTCGGGACGCCCACCCGTCGTGCCGTTCATCCTCACTCATCCTTATAGCATCCCGCCTTCAAAGTCTAGTCATGCATCCGGGTTAAAGTTATCCTAAAGTTATCCCTAGGAGCACGGGAGTATTGCGAATGGGTTCGTAACCAGTTCGGTTGAACTACTCCTCGGGTGCACCGCAAAAATAAATTTTGTGTACTTAGTTTCGTTTTTGTTGTACAGCTATTGTTTTTTGATTTGTTTATAGCGTTAGTAACTTCGCTAAGTATTTTTATTCTCTTCCTTTGCTGTTAGTTTTGTCAGCGTACGTAGCTAACGACCCACGTCGTCTTCACTTAGCTGGCCAGTCGCTTTGTTAGTTTGCTTTGTTGACGTGTGTGGAGTGTGGTTGTTGGTAGGCACTTTACCAACAGCCGCTGTTGGTATATGTACGTTTATATACGCATATAAATATTGTTTTTAGGAAAAGTGGAGGTGACAACACATTCCTCAAGACCGAAATCGTCCAACGTATGTTTATTCCTATTGCTTATGAATCATAAATCGCTTACTCTTCTACGATATATCCAGTCATTACTAATTACCTTACCTTTTATACGAATACATATTATACAAAAATTGTTTTAAGTTTTTATTAATTGTATAAGTCTGGCCCTAAGTCTTGTAAAATCATTAGTAATATATTTCAGAAAATTGGATTATTGTATTAAAGGCCACGGTAGCTGCGTGGTTACCATTGCGTACAGCCATACGGAAGGCAAAAGTTCGAGTCCTGGTTCGACCAAAACCCAAAAGTGATAAAAATTTAATTGCTGTCAGAGAATGTCAACTCCCCGTGTGTATTTTTGAAATGAAATAAATGCTCTTAAAAAAACCATCAGCCGTACAAAAGCAGCATAGTACACTCTGTAGGTTCCTCTATTTGTTGGAAAAAACATCAAGACGCACACCACAAATCGGATAAGAAGGTCGGCCGAAAATTTCTTTATCGGTTGCAAAGCACTTTATATTTTTAAATATATATTATTGTAATATTTTTGTGTTAAGTGAAATATTCAGACTATAAAAGCCTTCATGGCCGCCTGGGGCGCACCTCTCACAATGTAAAATTGTGCTTGGAAATTTTAGCACTAAGGTGTACAAAGAAGACATGGGTAAGAAAATTCAGTCTCCAAGACAGACATTACCCAATAGGTTGATGCTGATCGACTTCGTCGGCCCCGAATGAATGGATGGTTGTCTGTGGTACTAGATTTTAATACAAGAATATTCACCAAGATACCTGTCTGCTTCAGATCGAAAAACTCGTAACCAAATTGATGATGAAGCCGTAGACGGGCGACATGTTTCCAGTGCTCTTGTCGAGGGCTCGCACCGTGGACACAACATTGAGTCGGGCCAATATTTTGTAGCAGCAAATATACACACCCGCTTTTGTGCAGTACGAAACTCCTGTCAAGAATGGACGTTGAAAAGCTGCCATCACTGCGGACACTCGAGTGTTTTTTCTCTGACTGAACTTATCAAAATTTTGGTATAAATGACAACATTTCAGTCGTCAGCCCAATCCCTGCGTACAGTTGCAAACGAAACGATTGGTTTTCGACAAGGTTGGAGAAAGTAGGCTGTATACCTCTTAACACTTGTATCGACCACAACAAGTCCTGCATAAGAAAGATACGAAAAGTTGAAGAGGAAATCGATACGAAAAAAAGAAGTAAATATACGTTACTCAAGGATAGTGCCACAAAATTTTTCAAATAGATGCGGCGACTAACAGAAGGTTTCAAGACCGGAAGAGTCCCTTTTATAGCCAAAGAGGTGATTTGGCGACAAAATAAAAAAAAATGTAAGTAAGTAAGGAAATGGTACACGAAAAACAAATGATTAGAATTTTTCTAAAAAAAAACAAAGATCGCTTAAAACATTAACATTTATGATGTAAAAATAGAAGAAGTAACCAAACTCATAAAACTACTAAAAGGTACTCGTTAAGCGAAGATGTGATGGCAGTGTAGCGTTTGCATCGTCCGTACATCCTGCAGTCCAGATTGAAGATTTGGATGTAAGGAATGCAGAAAGCTTAGAAATGGAAAAACTATATGAGTGGCAAAGCAGTGCGAAGGAAGGTTGTTACCAACTGCCGTAGTGCCTAAGATTCTTTAACGCATTCTTTTTCATATATTCTTTTCTATGCTTTATAAAACCTAGAACTCACTCCGGCAACTTGAATCAAGGTGGATTTTTTATATCGACATTTTTCGATAAATCAAGATACAGAACACCAAATTCGGTGATGATTCGAACAAAGATTCTGATGAATTAAATCTGATAGGATTTCCGCACATACCCTGCTTATCTTGTGAATTTTCAAATTAATTACTGGGAAGTTAAATAGATGATGTACAATCTTCTATAACTGTGTACAACTGTAAGTCGAGTTGTATTGATTTCAGTGAGTTGAAAAATCGCACTGTTAGTTCTAGTTTCTCGAGACTTGACAAGGAAGCGAAGCAAATGTGTCTGATAGTGAACGAGGACAAAACCGAATATCTCCTGTCATCAAACAAACAGCCATTGCATTCGGTCCTCGGCTCCTTCGTTACTTTTGACAGTCATTACTTTGAAGTAGTTGAAAACTTCGTCTATTTTGGAACCAGCACTAACACCAACAACAATGTCAGTCTGGAAATCACTTTTATAAGGAGAAGGCTATTGAATAAAAAAGTCCTCTCTCGACGATCGAAAACCAAGCACTACAAGAACTTCAACATTCACGTCCTGCTATATGAAATTACCGGTAACAACATCTGATGAATCGACCTTGAGAGTTTTTGTGGGAAAGATTTTTCGATGAATACTGCGGCCTGTGACCTATACAAGATATACGGCGACATTTGCATAGCTCAGCGGAAGGGGTCTGTGACTAGACTGGCTATGTTATGTTGTCTTGATGGAAAAGAGAAGTCTAGCATGAAAAGTATTAGACGGGTACTACAGGAGATTGTGGAAGGATAGGAAGACCCCTACTTCGTTGGCTTATCTTGGGGTGTCTAATTGGCGTCAAATTGCGAAAAGAAGAAATAGGTGGCGCACTGTTTTTAACTCGGTTATAATCGTGTAAGCGATGTCTTCACTTGATGAATAAGATATAAAAAAGTTTCACCTTTTTATAAAATATTCAGAAAATATGATATATGAAGTATTAAAAAGAATATTTAGACTTGATTTACTTACATCCACATGGCTCGCAATTGTTCGCATGTCGGCTCCTGTGCACTTAATGGGCTTTCCCATTTGGGTGCAATAATTTCACCTCCGGTATCTGTTTGACTATCGAGCATACTAGCGGCTGCCACATCCGAAGCTGCGGTATTAACTGCTGTGGCAAGACCGGCGTGGGTGGGATCAACTGCAATCAACGCCGGTGAGCCGGCAGCTACCTTTGTCGCGGCATACTCCTGAGGACGTGCACTTAGTACTGACATTAATGGATCATTACTGTATTTCAAGGATCCGGCTTCAACGTATAAAGGGCTCAATTGGAAGATGTTTGATATTAGAAACAATACCAGTTGCCCCTAGTAAAAGAACAATTAAAAAAATTAGAAAAATTAATTTTTTTAATTTTAAATCATCTGAAATTAACTATATTATCTGCTCACGTTTAGTATATATTATTCGAGTATATGGCTCATGTTCTATTTCCCATGTAATGCTTGATGCCATTTAAAAAACTGAAACCATATTAAATATATTTTAAAAAATTATATGGTTTCAGTTTTTTAAAATAGCCATATACTTGTATAATACTAGGTAAAGTAAGAAGTTTTTTTTTATTGATTTTTCAAAATATAATAACTTCTTCTGGCACGTCACCAAAGACGTGTTTGGCCTGGCGTTGTCTTGATGGAACACAATTCGGCCTCTGTTGACCAAAGATGGCCTCTTCTGAATGAGTGCTGCCTTCAAGCGGTCCATTTGTTTGCAGTAGAGGGCCGAGCTGAGCGTTTGGTTATAGGGAAGCATCTCGTAGTGGATGATTCCAAAGCCAATCCCATCGAACACACAGAAAAACCTTCCTGGAAGTCAATCCGGTCTTGGCCACAGTCTGGACCGCTTTCCCGAGCTTTGACCACGACCGTTCGCGCTCGATGTTGTCGTAATTGACCCATTTTCCATCGCCAGTCACAGTCCGCTTCATAAATGGGTCGATTTTGTTGCGATTCAGCAGCGGCTCGCAGATGGAAATTGGGTCCATCATCCTTTTTTACGTTAGTTCGCGGTTCCAATCGGTTTTCTGGCTTATCTTTGGTTCCTCAGCAATTAAATAAGTGCTCACGTGATGGTCTGTTTCCACTATTTCCATGATTTTATCGCAATTTTCGACGACAGGCCTCCCGACGTGTGGTCCATCTTTGACATCGAAATTATCGGAACGGAACCTAGAAAAGCACTCTACACGCTTGTTTACAGTATCGGGCCCATAAACTAAATTAATTTTTTCAGCCGCTTTGGCTTCTTTTTCGCCTTGAACGAAAAAAAATTGTATAATATAGCGAATTTTCTCTTTGCTGGTGTCCATCTTTGACGAGCGCTCACAACGTACTGAGTCAATCAATTGAAAAACTTTAAGCGCCAATAAACACGTTTTCATAGTATAGTGTGCCATGATGCGACATTTAACACAAGTAGACACTAACGCCCTTTCTTAGATATAAATCGAATGAACTTGACCAATATATAGTAAACGTGAGCAGACGCTTTAATTAATTGTTATGGGCGACAAGGGAACCAACCCGGCAGAAGCCTTGGATCACAACTAAAAGTGGGTGCTTTATTAGAAGCAATTGACATATTTCATTTCTTTTCAATTTATTTTATTTATTTAATTTAATCTATGGTTACAATAACTTTACAAAGTAGATTTACAAATTTATTTAATTATATCACTTACTGATTTGAAAAAAGGGACAAACGTATTGATTGCATGAGTAATAGGGGCAAGAATACAACAGCGGCCCACAGAGAAATGATGGTGATTTGTCAACAGCTATCTGCGGATGTTTTAGACCCGCAGAAATAAAATGTTTAGTCAGTTTTTTTCGAACCCTCTTCAATATCAAGTAAATTGTAAAATTAAAGAAGATCCGGTACAAAAAAATTTAGATCCAAGGCAAGCATAATTTTCACGTATTTGCCAGGAATAAACTCGGAATGGTTGACATTCCTAGCCGAGGGACGACCACAATTAGAAAATTCAACTAAATGCTAAACACTCGTGGCCGCCAAAAATTTATTAAGCATGTCGTAAAGCATGTCCAGAAATATGATGGGCCTTGGTGTCTGGTGTACAAACCACTTACATTTTTTCTCTAGTGCTATACGAAAATTGGAGACCCCCCTTTTGACAACGACATCAGGGTATGCATTTCGAAAGTCCGGTCTCTTGATAGGGAAGGTGCCGCTGCCAAGTTGGTAGACGTCCTAATAAAATTGGTTTCTGACAGGATCGCCGTCAAAGAAGTGTGATGGACGGGACAAGGACTGTAGGCGGGTCTTTGTGACATTTATTAAAACGGCCATATAAAGGAAGCAAACTCGGTCGCCGTGTACTGCCATTCACCCGGTGAACGAGCATCTAGCCACGATCCGCATCAAAGATGCCTTTTATGAGAGCCTAGAGCGCCCTCATGAGCCCTACCCTTGCCATGAACGCAAGGGTAGGCAAAGTGGTATAAAAGCCGGAAAGTTGAGCCTCCACGACTGGACTGAGGCTGACCGCATTCGCCGGAGCCCGAAATATGGTTGACTGTAGTACAAAAATTTTATCAAGCGACTTAGCAGTCTCCTGACCAAAAAGCCAAAAGCCATCGATCCAAAAACATCTGGTACGATGAGGACCGCCGTGTCGCAGTTAGGAGAAAGCAGACTGCCTACCTAGCAACGTTGCGATCGACCACTAAAAGTGCGAGTTGGCATAGTTACCGAGAATTGCAAAGGGTAGCAAGTCGCATATGTGAAGCTGGCTGACAAAGGTATTGTTCAAAAATTCTATGAAAATGTTCGACGACTTATAGAAGGTTTCAAGACCGGAGCAGGCTTTCGCATTCGCTACTTTCTTCCATGTCACTTTTGACAGTCATAACTTCTAGGACGAAGATGATTATTTCTATTTAGGAACTAGCATCAACATTAATAATAATGCCGACCTTGAAATATCGCAGAAGATAGAACGATGCTATACGATAATATTGGGATAGGTCATGTCGTCTGAATGAGTGAAAGCGATCCAGCTTTGAACAGAAAAAGGAAGATCTCCACTCCGTTGGAGGGATTAGTTGCAAAGCGACTGGGTTTCACTTGGTATTTTTAACTGGCGCCAAACGGGGAAAAGAGTGAATGAATTGCGTGCTATTATTGATTCTGCTATATTCGCGTAAACGGTGCCAGCGACTACAAAAAAGAAGAAGTCTGTTATTTATTTCAATTTATTTCATGCTTAAATTTTTTCTTCAAAAACATATTAAATTTTAGATATCTTTTATGCATCATTTCTGGATAAAAAGGAAAGAAACAAGAAAAAATTTTACTTTGCCTTATCTTCACTGACCACCAGACCCACTTGTAAGTATCAGAATATAAAAGATACACGATTGAAATAAACCTTCTTTTAAACTTAGTCTGTTACGGAATTTCTTATCGATTTTTTAAATCAAACTACGAAATAATGGCCCAGAAGTTTCAGACTTTCTTGAGTACTGATTAGTTTTCCGGTCGAACTTTCTCATTTGATGTGTAAAATGCATCTTGATATTTTTCGTTTCATGTTCTAATAAACATAATCGAGAGATGACTGGATGATAATGGTGTGCTTTAAAGACCTTGAAGTATTCCAATGTAATACAAATTAACTAAAAGAAAAAGTCTGAGCAGGCTTTGTACAGGAATGTGTTGCCTCCCATCTCAAAATAAAAGAAGTAGATTTGACAGAATATCTCTCACTACCATTAGCAGACCCCAATTGCTTTACATCAGCTAGAATAGACATGGTCATTGGTAGCGATATAATACCAAAAATACTCACCCCAGGCCTCAAAATTAATGTAGGCGGTAGCTTAATAGCCCAAAACACAATATTTGGGTGGATATTAAGTGGACCAGTTGCGGAAGAAATCTCATCATTCTCTACTCAGGTAATTGAAACCCCTTCAGAATCACTAGGAGAATTACTCAGGAAATTCTGGGAACAAAAAGAAGTACCACCGGCACCCCCATACACAGACGATGATGAATATTGTGAAGCGCTCTACAAACAAACCACTCATCGGCGAGAAGATGGTCGTTATGTAGTAAAGCTGCCATTCAAGTCGGCGTCCCGGACTCAATTGCACTCGGGCACTCCAGACCTGCAGCACAGCAGCAATACCTCAGCGTGGAACGAACCAATGAAAAGAAAGATGAACTTCGGAGCACCTATTCAGAAGTTCTAGAGGAATATCTATCGTTAGGCCACATGGAGCCAACCCATTCACGAGAAATCATACGCGAAGGTAAATATTTATCCTTTTACCTACCCCATCACGCGGTGATTAAACCTGGAAGTAAAACTACTAAAGTCCGAGTAGTTTTCAATGCCTCAAAAATCTCGCATTCCGGCCTCTCACTCAACGACGTGTTACATACTGGCCCCGTTCTCCAAAATGACTTAATGCTCATCATTCTAAAATGGAGATTATATAAGTATGTATTTAACGGCGACATTGAAAAAATGTACCGCCAAATATACGTCCATAAGGAAGACCAAAACTTCCAACGTATTCTATTCCGTAGAACCCCCAATAGTCCGATAGAAGACTTTAAACTAAAAACTGTAACGTTCGGTGTCAACTGCGCTCCATACTTGGCAATAAGGACACTCCACCAATTAGCCAAAGACTCTAAGGAGACATACCCCCACGTATCAAAAATATTAAGAGGAGAGACATACGTAGATGACATCCTCTCAGGCGGACATAACCTAGATTCAGCCGGCGAATCGATACATCAAGTTATCGAAGTACTCAAGTCAGCCGGATTCCCGTTAAAAAAGATCACAGCGAACCACAAGTCCCTACTGAAAGACATCCCTCAGCCTGATCTTTTAGATGAAGAATTTCTCCAATTCTAAGAGGCAAGCTCTACAAAAACCCTCGGAATAAAATGGAATGCTCTGACTGATACATTTTCGTACTCAGTTGACCCCCCGTTATCCTCAGACACTGCCACAAAACGACAGATCCTCTCAACTGTCGCGAAACTTTTCGACCCGGCAGGATGGCTATCGCCCATAATGATAGCAGCGAAAACTCCTTACAAACCATTTCTCTTCCTCGGCTGGAACTTTGCGGCGCAGTTTTACTGGCATTATTAGTAAAGCAGATCCGATCGTCCCTAAATCTGCTATCTCATGAACTAATTTTGTGGACAGACTCCTCAATTGTATTAGCATGGCCGGAAAAACCCCCATGGACGTGGAAAACATACGTAGCGAACAGGACATCTCAGATCCTCGACCTCGTGAATAACGC